TATGTATTTATGTATGTATGCATGTATGTGTTTATGTATGTATGTATGTATGTATTCAAGTAACTGTAATAATTACACACATACATACATACATACATACATACATACATACATACATACGTAGAGACAGACAGACATACATACATACATACATACATACATACATACATACGTATACACATACGTACATACATGCATACATGCAAGCATACATACAGACAGACAGACATACATACATGCATGCATGTATGCATACATACCTACGTACATAGAAGTATGCATGTGTGCATGGATACAGTGAAACAAACATACATATACATGCATAGACACAGAAAGAACCGACATAGAAGACAAGACTTGGATAGTGACTTGAAGCACATGTCTGCATAGCCTAACACAGCCTGGAAACCCTATCTATCTATCCTGGATGAACTCCGCAAGCTGAGCTGGATCTTCAGGAAGTGCGGCTAGAAGCTCTGATGCATCCATGCTATTCAATGCTGAAGCAAGAGAATCACATGACCATTGCCGGGAAGTAAGGCGCTCCGGCCGTCGGGCAGAAGACATTGTAAGGGCTCGGGGAGGCACAAACAACCCCCAACCAGACAAAAGCTGTCTTTCACACAGTGCCTCGGAGGAAGAGCCAAGCAGCAAAATGTGCACATCAGGCCATACACTTTGTACGCTTTTTTTTGGGCGTTGTATGGTTTTTGGTTGGGCGTTGCGTGGGTGAATCTGGGCGTTGGGTTTCTGAGCGTTTGCTTTTCTCGGCGTTGTATGGGTGTTTTTGGGAGTTGTATGGGTGTTTTTGGGAGTTGTATGGGTAAATCTGGGTGTTCGTGGTTCGGCACTATATAAACCCGTTGCAAAGCAAGATTATTACACTCTTAGACCAGCTGTAGCCTTCTAAGCGTTATTAGTTCTGTCATGTGTCAGGACCTCAAGCTGTAAAAGTCCACACTTGTTTGCCCTGGGAAAAGGTCGAACCCCTGAAACTACTAGTTTCCCTTCTAGCGAGCCTTTTGAGTGCCACACCTTTGGGGTTGACTTCTGCATTCAGGTCCGGGGATGGTATAATTCTAGGCGTTTCCCTTCTAACAAGCCTTTGAGATTCCACTCCATTTGGGGCCGGCCCTCACTTCAGAGCCCGGGACACCTGAAGCCTCTAGTGTTTCAACTTAAAAAGACAGTGCCTAGCCTAAGCATTCATCACTTATTTGGGCCAGACACTTACTTAGCTCAGGCCTAGGGGGCTTATCTAGGAAGTGTATAACACTATATCTGGAAACTAGGGTGCTAGGAGATTTCTAGTGCCACAACAGGAACCCACGATGTGGACAGCCCTTTCTTTTCAGCAGAGTGCCACCTAGCCTTCATAGGGTTCCACGTGCCGCTGAAGCTTTCCACATGCATGGAGCTCACAGTTCTTTGGGGAGGAAAGGTTTCCACTCATTAGGGACTGCCAGGGCCTTGGCGCCATAGAGGTACCGCACGAAGTCAATCATGTCAGCCACGTGCCACATATCGCCCCATTCCCAGTCCCTCCAAATCTCTAGAGGTTCACGGCTTTGGAGTTCATCATCATGATTAAGTTTGGGTGTGTACTTGATCAAGTCATGGAGCTCGGAGGCAATCTTCTGGCCGAAAGCCGCTGTGTACTGCCTAAGCAGATTTTGAACACATCGAATCTAGACAGCCAAAAGTAGCAACTCAGTGAAGCCAAGCATTGAAATCTCAGGACATGACCCAGTAGCCCTCAAATCAAGCGTGCCCTTGTAGCGGCTCCGCCCGTCCTTGTCCACCCATCTCTTCACAGGTGGACCGCGGCCCCTGGGATTGCGATGCTCCTCTTGGGCTCGCACCTCGGCTCTTTTAAGGCGACCCACCCAGAACCTTGTAATAGCTCGGCTGGACGACCATAGAACCGTAGGCTTCGGGGTTCGAGAGCCGTAGTGCCACATCCAGAAATTGCTTTTGAAGACCTGGGGCAGGGCTAGATGTTACACTAGGACTGGATGAAGCATTGGACAGGAAAGTTTCGGATGCCGTGCCTGCATGTGACCACAGACAAACTGCAGGGGGCTGGTCTCGAAAAGCAATGAGCCCTTTGGCTGTTCAATGACCCATGTCCCAATAAATGCTGTTGTTGCGAGGAGCAAGAGGGCCACCCTCAGGGAGCTTTTAAAGTAAATACTTATTAAGCAAGAGAACCCAGCCTAAGCAACCCGGGTCTAAGTTAAACCCACGTACATAACTACACAGACCCTACCTCATCCTTTACAACACCTACAACGAGACAGCCCGGCCTAGCAGCCATCTTATTTGCAGATTGAACAGCAGGGATAAGCATGCATCCCTCCGGATTGGCCAAAGATCGGCCCGTGCTGCCACGGCTTGTAGTTATAAAAGAACTACAGTGCACTCCCAGCCAATGTAGATATCCACGTCTGTCCCCACGCAAGGTGGCTGTCAGAAAGGCCCTGAGATCCGAACTTAACAAAGAGCCACAAGACAAGCGCAGAGGAACATGGTCCTAAGTAACATCTGATTGAGCTGAGAATCCCGAAGCCACCATTCTTGTTCACATCTAGTGCTGCACACTGCAACACATCCATGGTCACAACTTGCTGTCCTGGGAACATTGACCTCACTTGATTGGTGGCCTCGGCATTGCCAGCAAAGCTCTCGACAAAGCCATAGGAGTACACCTGTTCTGGGATTTGGTTGCCTACCGGAGGACCGAAGACCCTTCTGTAGGTAAGGGCAATGTCTACTGGAAGGTTTGGGGTCCTTGCTGGTGGTATGGGAGCTTTACGGATACATGGTATGTGTTGTTCATGTCTATATATATATATATATTGAGAAGATATGAAAATAGATAGGGTTTATATTGCTGTGTAGGTCTATATATATATATATATTGTATATATATATTGTATATATATATATACACTTACATATTTCTTTATTCATCAGTCATGTCTGTATCCTGTACATACATATATATATATATATGTACATAAACATCCATGAGGTGCACACACATGAAAGCACATCCATGCAGGCATTCATCAGGAGGCAAGCCCGGAACCTGCCAATGCATTGCAATATCTGGGCTAAATAAGGTCTGGAACATGTGACTAGCCAGGACATAATAATAGCATAAGGCCAGCATGTAATGTTTGGAAACCACCCAAGCCGACTTTCGATTTTCTGGAGCTGTTCTACTTTTAGGTGCTATAGCTTGTATGCATCATGGAACCCTGATGTATACTGCAGCTTCATGCATAACCCCTATACTAAAGCCCGATTCACCTTTCGTGGCAGCACAGCAGTGCTTTGATACATGCTTCATTAATTAATTGTATATGTGCATACATTATAGTCTATAAGAAACCAGAACACAATCCTTGCTACTAACACTAAATTCCTTCTGTCCTTTGTATACACTGCACACATTGGCTCCCAGGTCCCTTCTTTGTTTTCCCTCCTCATTCTCGTCTTTATCTCTCTCTCTCTCTGCCTCTATTTCTTATGTCCTTACTAGATATATATATATATATATACAATAAGTATGTATGTGTATTTATATAGAGAGGGAGAGAGAGGGAGAGAGAAAGAGAGAGAGGGAGAGACAAAGCCTGGGAAGGCCTCATCACCCAGCTCGACAGACTCGTTCCACAGCAGCAGCAGGCACGCGAAGGCCAGGATCTGCAGCGTGAACAGGATAGGCCAGGGGTGGGGATACCGGGATCACTGCACATGGGGTCTCTATCAGTATTTGGACTTCCAAGCAGCAGTCAAGCTCCGAAAGTCCACTGTTTCACTGTTCTAGTACCCTGCAGAATTGATCAGTTTAGAAGGCAATTCCCAGAATGAGCAATGACATGCACCAGCATATCTGAATACAGCAGCCAGCAGACCTTTGGCGCACCGACCCGCCGCAGCCGACGTACAATGTCTGCTTCACTCCAGCAGCCCATTGCAAACAAAATTGCCAAGCCTTCTAGTGACACTAGAGCCGGCACTTCCTGCAGTAGTTTGCAGCCAACTGACAGAGTGCACATGCTGATGCCTAACTTCATCGATCATGCTCAGTTGCTGCCACAGCCGGCCACTTGTGTACAAGCTGAACATGGCAGACCCCTTGTCCCAGAACTGATCAAAACATGTCGGTCTCTGCCACATGACTGCTCTTCTTCAGCATCCAGGAGGCCGGCCTTTGCAGCCTTCCGTTTGCCGCGCAGAGAGGCAAATACCTGCGTGGCCAGAAGCTGATGCACACATAGGCCCCATATGGATCAAATTGAATGACACAGTCAGTGGGATCTACTCAAACAAGTGATTGTGCATCAAGAATGTAGCAACAGCACCAACTGGAGCACTTACACAGAAATACTTCTTTCCTCTACCGCAGCTGATCTTCGAAGCATGAAGCAGTGGCACGATTGGCCACCAAATCTAGACAGGCCGTTGGCTCTCAACGACCCCCCCCAATGCCTGCTCTAGGGCCGACCAGACACTTTCCATAAAGTGGCTTATGCATAGGCCCTATAACAACCTTCTCAGACTAATTGAATCCCTTAGCTAAGATTTCCCAAGCCCCGCAGAAAACGTCTTCCAACCAAACATGAACCATAAGTTCCAATCTAGGCAAAGCTTACACCACTTAACAGAAACCTTAGGCCCCAATCTTATCCTGGCACACAATTCAAACTGTAGCCGGGAAGGTGTTGGATGTCCTCAAACTGTTTGTGTCCAAGGCTTCATGGCTTGTGGTTTGAACGGGTCTTTGGGTTTAGAGGGCTAGATAATTTCCACAGCATTCACAGGTAGGGTTGCCAAGAAGTCTACACAGATATATCCACACACACATAAATTTTTATATACATATAATATCAATATGTATATATACATACATACATA